CATTTTTATCGCTTTCTTAGATTTAGTTCGATTAATACGAAAATTGTCACGACTTATTTCCTGCTCCTCGTGGGATCGACCCTTACTCGCCGCTACTACTAGTTAGTAGATGTTAGTCAAGGTAATTCTATAAATTTAAATTTGCCGCGTAGCGACGCGCGGTCACCAGCATATTTTTCAACCAAACATCGAGATCCTCAACCATCCCATCACTTGATTCACCGGGGTTAATAACCACTTTCGTATCACGCGGCCGCGGAGGGCGCTGCGCAGAAAGTCCGCGCGCGCGGGGCTGGTCGCGGCAGTTTTGCGTATCGACTTTGTTTTTGCTCGTTCGGACTCGGAATTGAGTTCCATTTTTTCTTACGCGTCACTAATGAGCCCTTCTTTTTAATGGTGTCAGCTTGCCCAAAATATTCTCGAAAACCTGTTCTCCCGAGGTCTCAAAACTACACACCAAAAGCAAAAAGAGAACAAAAAAAAAAAGACCAGAAAACAAATGTAAAACACCGCAACACTCAAATGAATGAAAAACACATAATAAATGACAAAAAGATCCTAAAACCACCTAAACGGCTAAATAAGGGGGAAAAAGAACGGTAACATAATGAATAAAAACGACCCAAAAATGGGACAAACATAGCTCACTTCATTGAGACTTGCAATGATGCTGGTACATATGGAGATCGTCTGGTGAAGCAGTTTGTTCGGTCACTGAAGGGAAATGCATTCGAGTGGTACACTGACTTGGAGACAAATTCTATTGATAGCTGGGAGCAACTAGAGCAAGAGTTTCTCAATCGCTTCTATAGCACACAAAGGACGGTCAGCATGATTGAGCTCACTCATTCAAAGCAGTGGGATGAAGAGCCTCTTATTGACTACATCAACCGATGGAGAAATCTAAGCCTCAATTGCAAGGATCGATTTTCTGAAGCATCGGCGATTGAAATGGGTACTCAAGGGATGCATTGGGGTCTCCGATACATTCTGCAAGAGATTTAACCAATGTCGTTTGAAGAG